CCGATTGTCCCGCCACAGCGGAACCCAACCCGCCACAGCGTCCCCTCCCTAGCGGGATAAATCCCACCCTAGCGGCTTGCACTGAACCAGTGAGAAAAGTTAAGAATTCCAAACCCCCATTTCACAACATGCCTTCATCCCATGACAAGCAGAAAATACCTTTTCACGCTAAGATCACTTTCGAAAGTTCTACTCACGCGAATTCAATTCTGTAAAGTCCTACGGGTTTCTTAACGTCTTAGCTATCTAGTTATGTGATCATCATAATTAGATATCTCATTTGTTACCATATTTCCCTAGACCTCACTGACTTCAATTTCGTCCAAATCTGGACTAGGCTAGGAAATCCAAAGATACTACTCTAAAGTTTTCTGGCCCCAATTCTTTCCCTATTGCCTTTTCTATAACGACGGGAACAGGTCGTTACAATTAAATACTATATTCATTTTTCATTTAGATAACTTATTTTCATTAAAGGTGATTTGGTAAAATTATCTTATAATTTATTCGTTATCCCTATGTCAATCAATAATGGATAACTATTGTTGGATAGAGGGAGTAAGTCTCAAGGACATGGGTTAGTGGATGATTTAGAACCTGTTTGGATTGACTTAAAAATTGGTCAAAAATACTTTCAAGTCATTCTTAGCTTTTGAGAGTATTTGACAAAGTTAAAAATAACATAAAATGAATTTAAAATTACTTAGAATAAATTAAATGTTATAAGTATGTACTCCCCTACTATTCATAAGTTACTAAAGTTTGATATTTTTTAAAACTACTTTTTAAAGTTAATTCAAACGGGCTCTGAAACTTATGTTGGATCATTGGAAGATCATAGAATAGTGATTTAGTATTTATGGTCACTTTCTCCGCTTAATTACCATGATAAATAATAGAATTTATCATTATTATTATTAGGGGAAAGGGTCAAAAATGCTCTTAAACTATGTGAAAAGAATAAAAATGTCCTTCGTTTATAGTTTGGCTAAAAAATGTCCTTGCCGTCGATACTTTGGTTCAAAAATACCCTTGCAGTCAACACTTTGGTCCAGAAATGTTCTTATAGTTACTAAATGGGTCAAAAATGCCATTTTCCAAATACATATATATTTTTTTTCTTTTTCAACATATCTTCTTCCTAATTAAAATATTATTAAAGAACTGTGTTCTTGTTTTCTTTCTTTTAAAATCACTTTAACAAATAAAAATGTAAGAAATATTTTTTTTCTTGTTAATCTCATTTTATCAATTAAAATAGAATAACTTCATGTACCCTTTCGATAGATAATATACGTCATATATATAAGATCCATAATATATCCATCATTAATTTATATTTATATAACGAAAAAAATAATTATAATAAAATAAGAAATATTTTATTTTCTGAATTGAAGATAAAATTTGCTAAATTTAAAAAATATTATTAGAAAATTTTTTATTAAAAATAAAATAAATAATATAATTATTTGAAAAATAAATATTTTTGACCCATTAAATAACAATAAGGGCATTTTTGGATCAAACTACAAACTGAGGGCATTTTTGTCCTTTCGCATAGTTTAAGGGCATTTTTTACCCTTTTCACCTTATTATTATATTAAATATTAAATAATAATATTATTCAAAACTTGCCAATTAGACGAAATCCCTTTGGAATGTAGCATACATATTTTTTATCACATTAAATTAATGAACACACAAATAAATTATTGTAACAAGATCGTATAGATAAAAAGAGAACTAAATGCATCAATGTATTTGTCATTTACATTTAAAAAAAAGGCTCAAATATGTCATCGAACTTTTAAAAAAGGCTTATTTATGCTATCCGTTAAAAGTTTGGCTCATCTATGCCATTATTGTTAAAGAAAGGGCTCATTCATGTCATTTTTTAACTCCAATTTTGCAAAACCATTTTTTACACTCCTAACAAGGTTTAACACTTTTCAATTGGAGTTTTTGGATCGATATACTTTTTTTGCTTCTTTTTCTTTAAGAACACCAAGAACACATGAAGAACATAAACAACTATCAAATTTTCAACATATTCAATTCTTCACGAAATCGCCTCAAATTTCAAGAGTAGTTTCCTTTTGAGTTAAAAAAAATGGCATGAGCCAAACTTTTTAACGGATGACATAAATGAACATTTTCTAAAAGTTTGATGGCATATTTGAACCTTTTCCCAAAAAAGAAAGACAAGAAAAAGGCATAAAAATATTTTAGAAAGAAAAAAAAAAAGAAAAAGAAAAAAGAAGCTGAATCCATAGCCAAAGCCCACAAATAAGTAAGAAAAAGAAAAGTGGGCACTGCATAATAACCTAGCCCAATAAATGGCATAAAAAAGTCCAACTTATACTGCACTCGTTAGCCCACATTTATTTTATTTTCTTTTCTTTTTCGATAGCTCACGTTTATGTTTCAATTTAATAAATATTTTATGCTCAAATTAAGTTATCCAGCAATATTAGCTCAAAGCAATGCGTACTTGAAAACAGTTTAATATGGTTAAATAACAATTTTGGATGTGTTTTTACATGATTTGAGATGATTTTCATATTAAAAACTTGAAATTGAAGAAAACTCTATACATGCGTGTAGCCTTAGGAGCTTAATTATCAATTTTGGAGATGATTTGAGATGAATTTCAATTAAAACTCTTTTATTTTGGTCGAACAAAGTGTCTTATCTTATTTTAGTTATTAATAGAAGACCAAGTGTCTCATCCAATTCTACAAATTTTATACTAACAAATAAAACATAAGAAAAAACAAACAAGCCCCCTCTAGAGCTTGAGTCATATCATATCATATTGTCATTTAGGGTGTGTTTGGTACGGAGGAAAATATTTTTTTCAATTTTCTCATTTTGGTTGGCTTAAATGTTTGGAAAATGTTTGGAAAATCTACTCATTTTCCTTAAATATAAGGAAAAATGACTTCCTTTTCAAAATTGAAGAAAACATTTTCCAAACTCCACTTTATCCTTTAATTTGTTTTCTTACCTGACGAATAACCCGTACCCGACCCTCCCAAAAATAAAAGATATTTTCTAAAAAATATTTTTCATTTACCAACCAAACATTAAAAAATATTTTTCAAATTTTTTTTTCCTACTCCAACCAAACATGAGAAAATAAATTAGAAATTCACTTGTTTTTCAAGAAAACATTTTTCTTCGTATCAAACACACCCCTAATCATAATTTAAAATTGTCTCTCATGATATCAAAAATCTTCCTGAATAAATTTTGTTTAGACGCAAAAGTTTATAAACTTTCTAGGAGAAAACTTTTAATAATTGTTAGATTTCAAAAGAAGATTGTTATGATGGATTGCGTTGTAGAAAACCTAGTTTTTTGCTTAGGAATTTTACTAATGAATGTCTCCCTATTTATATGGCAAAAGTATTCATTACCCCTTGAATTTGAAACTTTTTATTCGATGTACGCCTAAACTATATTCCGTTTTAATTATCCCAAAACTTGTTTATTCCTCCATCACGTACACCTTTTTTATCCAAAGACTCCTATTGTGACTACACGAGCACAACAGCTGGCAAAGTGATGATGTGGATTTCCACCTGGATAAATAAATATCAAACCTTCTCACCTTCTCACCTAGGCTTCTCACCTAAAACTTTCGAACTAAGCTTCTCACTAAATCTTTCGGACTAAACCCAAAAATCTTCAAGAAATTAATATCTAGTATTGGAGAACTAAGATTAAATGTCAGCACAAGACTTTTATTGTTGGAATAAAACAAATTAATTTTAAATTAAAAAAAAACAGGTGAAGATTGGGGTTGTTTATGCAAAAGTATCTTGAAGAAGATGGGTTGGAGGATGCGGGGTTGCAGAGGAGGGGATAGGGTGCTGCAAAATAGATTTTAAAATAGTTAAAATAATTAGGTAATATGCTACATGTCATTTATTCATTGGATAGTTTTTCTTAAATTTAAAATTTATTGTTTAAAAGTTATTTTTGAATAAGGGCTAATTTCGCAAAACTCCTTTTGAATTTGAATTTTTCTAGACGTAAAATTAATCGATTAAATTTTAAATTTGTCTGAAATTCTTATCAAGTGTTAATCTTTGCTTCCTTTACTTTACTTTAACATTTTACCCTATTTTTCATTTAAAATATGTCAAATATTAAAGAAAAAATGGAGATTTTACATTTTTTTACCGTTGTAGCTTTATGATGTAACAAAAAATCACTTCTTCACACACCTAGTAGAGTGTGTTGTCAATTTCAACATCAGGTGGACAATAAAGGCATACGCAATGAAGGAATAAACAAGTTCGGAGGTAATAAAAATGAAATATAATTTAAATATACACCAAATAAAAAACTTCAAGTTTAAAGAATAATAAATACTTTTGCCTATTTATATCACTCACATAGTAACTAATATATAAATAATAATTATTAAATAAATGTTAAAAATTTACAAATAAATTTATTTTCTAGATTCTCTAAAATTTTAAAACATTTACGATTATCTATGTAAGTTTATGATATTCTAAAATCTACCATAAAAAATCCTCAACCCGCTCTACCTCTGTTGGTACTTTTTTCTATTGTCAAACCGCTTTCCCCGCACTTAATAAATCCACCCCACCCTACTTTAGTTTTTTTAACAGTTGATTTAAAACTATCTTATTAGGCTATATTAGCTAAGCAAAATTGATAAATATAATTTTAGAATGAAAAGTCATGAAGAAATTTTAACTTTTTTTTCTTTAAGGTTCTATAGCATTAATAGAGGTTTAATCAATAATTAATAAAAACCCAAATTAATCTCAATCTATAAAAAGTAAAAAAAAAAAATGTACAGTCATTTAAGAAATACGGTAGGAGACCCGCCGCACAGCCACGCCATCAATTTACCCAACATTTCTTAATTCATATTGACAATGTTAAATTAAGTAAATATTAGCGTAATTACGTAATACCGAGAGCAGATCATGCAACGGGAGGAGTATCAGGAAAAGGAGTAAATGATTGGAAGCCATTGGCATGGGTGGAATAGGAAAAATCTCATTTCTTATCTTTTTTGCCTTTTAAGGAAAAAAAATAAATACGATATTTTTCCATCCCACCCACTCCAAAAGCTTCCCAAATCTCTCCTCCCTTTCCATTTCCCACAAAAATTTCCTCTAAAATAATAATAATAATATTAAAAAATATATATATGTATAAGAGCTCAGAAACAAAATGGGTATGAGAAATTTATCATCACTCAAATTAAAACTTGTAAGAGTGGTGCATGACAATCTCTAAATCTCATCACAGCTCTTAAAAGAAAAAAAAAAACTAGAAGAAATTGTATGGAAAGGGAGAAATAATTGGAAGATATGGGCATGGGCGGTGTAGGCAAGATTTTTCATATCATAAATATGATAGATCTATCTTACCCCACCACTCACGCCAAAAGCTTCCCAAAAATTTTCATCCCTTTCCCAATTTCTGGAGTTTTAGATGAATAGAGAGTAAACGGCTGTATGTAGGTTTGTTGATCAATTGGTTGGTGGTGTCGTTTATATAGTACAAAAAAGATGGTGAAGTTGCCGCTGGATTGAAACCCTAATTTTTTATGAGTTTACCATCGTATCCTCCTAAGTTCACCACAATTACAAATTAACCTACAATAAATATGAATCTGAAAAAGACCCTAATTTTTTATGAGTTTACCATCGTATCCTCTTAAGTTCACCACAATTACAAATTGACCTACAAAAAATATGAATCTGAAAAAGAAAATAAAAAAGTATATATCTCATTGATGTGTATATAAAGAAAGTATATTACTCTCTCTATCCCAATTTATGTGGCACTTTTCGTAAATTTATGTGGCATTTTTCATTTTTTGTGAGTCAAACACTTTAAGTTTGATCGAAAATTTGCTCATGAACTCTTCAATTTTCTTGAAATGAAATTTATATATTTATAAACTAGTAAAAAGTATTATAAGTTACAATAGTTGACAATTCAAAATATTTAAAAAAAATATGAAAAATTTACGATCAAATACAGACTTGTTTGAGTTTCAAAATCCTAAAAGTGTCACATAAATTGGGACGGATGGAGTATTATTATTTGTAATTGAAAGAAACTTTGGATAACAAGTTCGGATAAAAGTGGTATAAAATATGTATATAATTGTATAAATTTTGTACAATAAATTAGGACTGAATTTAATTCAATACTATAAATGATGTGTTTTTATAAAATAATAAAAATTTGGAAAATTATTCTCAAATATAAAGTTTGGTCCAAATACTAATTTTTTTCGTGTTTAAAAACTTGAGATGTTTGTCAAATCTATATCTATATATAAAGGAGGACCATAGACAAGGTGATGTGGCACCTCTCTATGGCCTCCTATTTGCTATTTAGTTCTTTTTTTCTTTTTTTTTTGGTACTTTTTAAAAAATAAATTAATTATTATATTATAAAATAAATTACTTAAATTTATTACAAATAAATATTTTATTGATGGAGGAACATTTATAACAAAACTCTTCATATTATTTTTTATTTATTTATTTGTCTCACTTATAATAAAAGGAGAAACATAATTTATCTTTTTTGACTTTTTTAATTCAAATTAATTATTGTATTGTAAAAAATATATTACTTAATTCATACAAATAAATATTTTTATTAATGTAGGAACATTTTACAACAAAAAACTCTCCACATTCTTTTTTTCTATTTTTTTTATCTCACTTCAAATCATGAAATGATAATAAAAAATTTTACATTTTAAGTATTTTTTAATTTATTCACAAGGAGTTATTTCCCATGACTTGCCCCTCTTTAATTTTTACTTTTAATAATATTCATAACTCTCATAATTTTTATATCCATAACCTCCAAACTTAAATTGGTAAGTTTATGATGTCTTATGGTATTCCTTTATTTTGCCTATAAATTCATATTAGTTTCATGAAAATTCACATTCACAATTATCCTTTCTCTTTTCATCATATTGGTTTGGTTTGTAACAAAAAAGAAGTACATGGAGGTAAGAAATATTTCATTGCAATTTTTTATTTTTTATTTCCTCTATTTTTGTCTATATGAATTCGTATTTGGTTTGTGAATAAAACTAACATGTCACAAAAAAAAAGTACACGAAGTTAATAAATATATCATTCTCAAGTCCTTATTATTTCATTTCCTCTATTTTGTCTATATATTCATATTTATTTTCATGAAGATTCACATACAAGGTCATTCTCATGTCTTTCTTTTTATTTTTATGTACTTAGACATGCTTTCTTAATATTTTCAATGTTTGTATTATCATTCATCAAGCAAGTATGATTAAAAAAAATCTTTGTAATTCTTAACAATGTTTTGTCTGTATGCAATTGCTCTTTCTAATAGTTAGTTTTCCGGATATAATATAGTTTGATTATAATATATGTTAGATTTCAAGAAATAATAATTATTTAGTATTGTTAATACTATTGAAAAGATAATATACAAATATATTACATATAGTTTAAATTTCGTTCTTTCTTTTGACATAATTATTTTTAATTGGTATTACTATTATTTTTATTCAGTTGGTTGCATATAATGAAGAGTTTGACATATGGATCAAAACATGATGACGGATCTACTTGTAAAGAAAGATGATAGAAGGAAAAAAAATGAAACATAATTAGAGATTATTTTTTTACTTTGAATTGTATTAGCAACTTAGTTACTTTTGCTAGAATTTTCTAAATTTTGATTTGTATAAATAATTTAGCTAAATGTATTATATTGTCAATGCTAATCATTTGATCCTTTATTATTCTACTTTTTCTTTGTTATGAAGCAAAATTAATATAATTATCTCATTTTAACAATAACAAAAAAAATTATGATGATTAGGAGTTTAATTTTTATTATAATTATAAAAAAAGTAATTGAAAAATAAAATATTATTTTCATGACGCCATTTTTTGCGTATGTAACAATCTGTTTTCGTCACCGTTCTTTTTGCTTTGAAATGTATTTATAATTTTTATGTAGTCATCAATTTTTATTATTTTCTTTGTTCATTTTTGTATTTTCACCCCTTATTTTTATTCATTTATTTTACAAATAAAATCATGCATAATTAGTAATACATTTAATGTCTAATAAAATTATACATTTGAATTATTTATAACTCATGTCTCTTCATCTTACTTGTAACTTTTAATATTAAATATTATTCATAACTTTTGTATGTTTCATTTTTCATAAATCTTATAAATATTTAATTAATGTTTAAAAAATTATAATAAGCAAATATAATAATAAGGACATAGTAAAAAAAATCGATTTTGTTTTGACGAAATCAGAATTTGAAAAGAAAATTAGTACTCCTACAAAAGATAGAGAAAAATTAAACATATAAAATATTTCAACGTAATACAATATATTGTTATTTCAACATATTATCTCTTATTCCATTTACTTCACCATGGTGAATATTTTGTTCTACATATACATATACAAAAAAATTATATTTTTATATAGTTTAAAAAAAATGAAAAAAACATATGATATCGCAGATGAAGAGAAATATTAATATTATCTATATATTCGATACTAACCTAAATATTACATATTTCATATTATTATCTTATAAATATTTCATATAGCCGCGCAAAGCGCAGATAATTTCACTAGTATATTTATTAAAAGTCATTATAAATTGTGTAGTCAAATCAATATTTCTCAAGGTTTTTCTCAAATAAATTTGAGAACATTTATGACCAAATGACATGTTCGCAAATAAATTTTACTTGAATTATTATGTAATACTTCGTATTGATTGAAGATATTAGTCTTGTGACATCATTTTTTAGATATGAATGTCAATTTTAAGCGTGTTTGTTTTTCTAATTTTATAATCACTTATCGAATAATTTGAATTATAAGATTTTTCATAAAAATTTAGTATGATTAAGATGTCTATTTAAGAGTTTCTATAAAAATAACATACAATTCATAACTTTTCCATCCATTTTATCATTAGCCATCGTTGCCTTCCACTATTATCAACTATCACCATCTATGTGCATGATTCGATTTGAGTCAATTTTTTATTAAAATAAAAAAAATTGATTTGATTCAATTTTCCAATTTATAACTAGCAAATGAAATTGATAATAGTAAAATAGTAGATATATGAGATAACTATTTCAAATAGGAATCAATACATTTCTTTATTCCAAAGCTTTAGCATTTTTAAGTTCCATATTTATTAAGGAGCAAATTCAAGTTTAATGGAACTTCAATGCAGAAACAATTAAAGAAGTTACTCCACTTTATGTGTCTTAACATCCACAAAAACAATATACAACTTCAAAATGACTGGTCAGGTACTCTTCAAAAATCAAAGGGTCAAGCTTAAAAGAGCAGATGAAAAGTTTAACCAAAAAAAATAAATTAAAACTAGTAATATATTTCAGATAGTTGGATTTGAGCATATTCATTAAGAAATGGAATTCAAAAGTCATGTATTGCATGTGAAATAAGTACTTAGATTAAAATTTACATTTCTTTTTTAAAATAAAGTATTTTTTCCAATGGTTGGTGACATTGACGAAAAAATGTGAAACTCATCAAAATTTGATACCACATCCCCATTTTTGAATCATCTTTCTTTAAGCTTGGAAAGCACCGAGGATTAGTTGCACCACCATGGCTGTGCTCGTAAGAAATAAACTACCTCGACTTCACCTGATCAAAAACACCACAACAACTAACAAGAAACAGCAAAGAATCCGAAACTGTGCAGTAACTTCCATTATTTGCACGCAGAGCTTGGTTAAGAGCTTAGACATTCTTAGTTGTGTATTTCTCAGCTGCACTATAACCTTTGCAATAAACTCATCCTATCATGGTAACAACATTCAAAGAGTATATGCTTTAACTTTCACAGTAAATAGATAAATGTAGAGGATGTTACAGCTACAGTAATAAGTTTGAGTTAACAATCGAGTTGGTAAAGGGGCCAGCATATCAAACGATATCTCTGGTGCTTATGTTTCAAAGCGTTGATTGAGCTGTATTTGATAAAGCATAAGAAGTCAAGGCAGGGTTGAATAAGACTATGAACCGGTGATGATCCTGTTACTGTGAAATTCCTGATAAGGAAACTGAATTCAATTGGCAAAATATGTTTTGTTTTCCGAAGTGGATAGGTAAATCATTAGCTAGGTGAAATGCAGATTACATCATGAGAGTGCATAAATAAACTCCTTACTCGTAACTACAGCTGCACAACAGATAAAATTTAGAAACTTTGAGCCAAGGCTGCAATATCTCAGTAGCAGGTTAGAGCCAAAGATGAGCACAACATTTGACATAAACTACAAGGATACATTCTATAAAAGGAGAACATTTGACCAAACATTGCATACTGCGAGAACAATAAAATTGCCATTTATGAAGCATAAGAGACGACGCACAATTGTGCTTCATAGCATAAGCATATGCCATCAACACAACAGATTATTATCATATCAGCATTGAAACATTAAGAAAAAGCTCAAGTTCAAGAAGTTGGGGGAAATGAGTAATGCTACCTAAGATCAATGGCTTCATCTACAAAGGAGAGGTTAGTCTAACTATGAACATAATAGGACAGAGCAAGCAAGACTAGTTGCAGGTTATGTAGATTTACAAATTATCTGAGGCATCTTACTGAAGTTCCGAAAGTAAAAGCTATGCTTCAACACCCCAAGCATCTTTAAATCCATAACTTGGAGGATGTTTCGATCGTGTATTGCATATAGAACAATACAGGGAACTCAATGGTCTTACCTGTTCTCCGATGCAACTATATCAAATGATGAAGCTTAAGTCCAACTTCAGCAGTTAACATAGAGGCTCATAAAATACATAAATAAGCAATATTGATGTATTTAGATGTTTAGTGAAGCAATTTTGAACCGCCACAGTTCATCAACCAACCCTGGCACATTATGCTACATCAATACTACCCAAAATGAAAACCGGACATATTGGCTCACACTGGGGCAGACCATTGAACAAAATGGCCCGTAGGTGCTTTGGTCGTAAAGTTGAGTTTTGAGATCGTTGGTGCCCCACACCGAGGGCTCAAATCCTGGTGTAACCTTTTAACTTTTAGTTGAAAAAATGCAAACGAAACTTCTTCATAGTTTTGACTTCTTTTTGTACCTATTCACATACTTTTTGCTTATATTTTTTTGTAGTTTATTCACTTTTCTATTTTCATATTTCATTTACTAACTAAATATTAGTAGTAAGCTTCTACAAAGAAATCTTTCTTGACTAGCAATTTTTTGTTAAAGGAATTGAGCACCCATCAAATCATGGATCCGCCACTGGGCTCACATTATGCCACACCAATACTTCCCAAAATCAAAACCGGACAATTGGCTAAAATGCTAAACTCAACACTATAAAAAAGCTTGATAACTAGGAGAAATTCAGCAGACAGTATGTGATATGTCAACGCAGAAGTTGCGAAAACATAGATATTCATCAAGATCCAATCTTTAAAAGCAAATTCCTTAAAAGATATGCAAATATTTTATCAAAACACCTCAATAGAATCACAATGATACTTGAAAGGAAGGCCTTAACCTCGAGTAGCGGTCAAAAAGTATTGTGGCAAATATGGTTGTCTCGTGCTTTGTGACTTGGGGTTCATTTTAAAAATAAAAAAAAACAGAACACGAGTTAATTACACCTTATTAGGTCCCCTAATCTCAATTTATGCACATCAATTCCAACTGTGGTAGCTAATGATTGTCCATTTTGTTATAGTTGGAGAGTATGGTGTCAATCTATATATGCTTCAACTACTCTTTTTCTTTCATTTCTGCTACTAATAGTTGATCAGGTCATGCAAAATACTCAAATAATACCAGATTCAGATAACAACACAATCAGAGCTATTACACATAAACATATCAAAAATAAAATAAATCCTCAATACTACAGCACATATAAAGGATTTAGAGCATACCAAGAAACCTATTATGCAACTGGAGAAAAAGGAAAGGGAGAAATGACTGGAAGCCATTGGAATGGGGGGAATCGGTAAGATTTCAATTCCATTTTTTATGAAAAACAAAATATGATATCTTACCATGCCACCCACTCCAAAAGCTCCCTGAAACATTCATCCCCTTTCCCTTTCCTACATACTCACCTCACAAAGCTTCATCTTACTCATTGTACTTGCTACTCAGATTATTTTATTTATATAGAGACTAGAAGCGGCGGTAGAATGGAAACCCTAAAATATGAGGTTCCCAAAACACGTTTTAACCACGCATGTCTTACTTTTGTTAACTTAAGTCCAATAACTTCTATATATGACCATTTTACGCATCAACTCATTATACTATAAGTTAGCAACTTTATTTTATGTATCAAGCTGAAAACAATTTTCTAATCCAATCTTATTATATAAACATGTTGGGGTTAAAATCTGAAGGATAAATAGTACGAAGTGAGGTTAAACATAGTTTTTTTTTTGTTTCAAAGGTCTAGTTGTAACAAGGACAAAGGACGGTAAAATTTTACCTTATGGTTGTGTTTTGAATATGTTGCTTGATACTGTTTTGAATGCATCATTTTTTTAGTGATCTTGTTGAGTTCACTGGTGATTGTTACTGCTCGATTCTATTGGCTTATGTAGCTAGGTTATAGATGTGTGTACCTGAAACTTTTTTGATTTTATTTAAGAATCTAGTGATTTTCGAAGTTGTTTCTAAAACTTTTTTGAATTGTACTCGAAAAAAGGATTTGAGTTGTATCAGTGTATCTAATAAAATTGATAAAGTGTGTCCAACAAAATTGAGTGCTTCTTTAACCCCAAACAATGTTGTATATGATACAGAGCGACTTGTCCTAAAATTGCTATATCTAAGATTAATACAACTAGATTAATGGGTGAATAGGTACAGTGTATCCAGCGAAATTGAGCGAAGAAATTATACAATTGAATAATACAATGCAAATTTCAGAAGGTTGGATTTGAGATACAAAGCAGATTTCAAAAGAATGAGGGTTGTACTTGAGATACAACGTAAATTTCAAAAATATTGTCATGTACCGTAATTATCAAAAGTATCACTATATATGATAAATTAGCAGCAAAATAACACTAGTTGTGAAAATTCATCTTAGATTTAATTAGCTGAAAACATCCAATTGAATGATAACACGTCTATGTTTTTAGTACGTTTTTAATTTAACTTTTTTAAACCCTGGGAGATTCAATTCAAACAAGGTTAATAATAAATAATGGGTAAATGGCTTCTCTGGACAATTTATGACACGTATTTTTTCTTTCATAAAATAGCACTTATATCTTACTAGGTAGGCCAAGTATGTGCAAATATGAGTAGGTAAGGAACTGAAGTCGATGAATTTGAAGGGTTATTAATTAGGTGAATCAGTAAAAAGTATACTTCTTAAGCTTGTAGATGACTGTTGGTAAATCCATATAATATGGTATTCACTGTTCACATAAAACATACTTCTTACAAGTGCTCTTTTCTTGGAACAGGTTGAAGTGAAAGCATTCCTTTACATGTATCGAGCAAAAAATGAAATCATATCAATACATGCAATAATCTCGAAGCTGAAGGTACCTTGCTACTGCTTAACATAAACTTCTTATGATGTAAGGGGTACTGGGTAGTTGATCTTCATGTCTTACCCAGTCTTCGGAGTGTCAGCTTGACGCTCCACCTGTGGTAGTCTATGGACTACACGTGTTATTCGGTACTGGCTCAATAACAGAAAGCTACCAAGTTTCCAAGGGTCACATCATGCCCAGGCTGACTCTGCAGTCTATGGATGATACTTTAAAACAGAGTAATCTAACTCATGCAAGACTAGATGGTTTAAATGTATACAAGCAACAAACAAGATATGTTCTTTGATGAAAAATAAGTAACTTCAAGGGTTAAAGTTTCATTTCCTAGTGAAGATCAAATATTTTCTTTTGAAATGCTCAAACACATTCCTATGGCCTCGTCTACTCAAAATCATGTCTAACGGGCTCAAATTAGTCTTGAAGAACCATTTCCTAGATTTTAGGTTTGGTTACAAGTTATAGTCAATCTATGTTTAGATTTAGCTGACTCTAGATCACAATCCAAAAATCCCCGATTTCCACCTTTGATTACATATTCAAATGATCGACCTTAGGTTAGATTCCTGATATAATCTCAAATCTGAGTTAGAATCACTTACCCCAAGATTAGAGATGAAATCCTCCTCGCTTGGAGCCGCCTCTCAAAACCAAGCTCCTCAAGTCTTAAAATAGTGAAGAATGAAATAAAAATACTCAACTCGACTTTGAAATACCCAGGCAGGACCTTAGCAGTGCTGGCGCATTGTCGGTCGCACTTGACTAGTGTTGGTGCACGGTCAGCCAGTCAAACTCGACCAATCCTGACCGCACTGCAGCCTACTATGCTGAAACTCATCTGTGCCCCTCAAGTTCCAACCCAAACCATACTTGAATGTTTTTGTCTCATGTTCTGGGTATATTCGTGTCGATTGATTCTCTTGACGGGTTGGTTAGGTGCCATCACGGCTTAGTGGAATATGGGTCGTAACATCCCTTTTGGATTGACGTGGTCTCTTTGTCATCACCTGACTAACTGTGAATTCATTGTACAAGGTTTATTCACATCAGGAGAAGGCCACAACAATAAACAAGAAACAGTGAAATATGAGGATCAGTGCAGCAATTCTTATTGTTCAAACATAGAGCTTGGTTCTCAGTCTCCAATCAGATGTCAGACGAAACAGACCAGTGGAGATATGTTTGATGGTTTCCAAGAGGACAAAAGAAAATATAGCAAGAGCTTAGGCGTTCTTAGCTCTGCATTTCTCAGCTGCACTGTAACCTTCACAATAAGCTCTGGTCCACCAAGGGACTTCAAAGAGAACTTGCCTTGCCTGTCAAATTTAATCAGATAACCGAATCTCATGATCATGACAAATGAAGAGGATGTCACGATTACAGTGTGATTCTTGAAGTAATCAAGGAAAGTTATCTGTAAAAGAACTTCTATTGAAATAAATTTTTGAAGTAAATCGTTAGCCTTGTGAAATGCAGGATAAAATTGCTGCAGCATTTGACATAGAACAAGTACAAGGATACATGCATATCCTTTAACAAGAGAAGTGTTAAAGTTGTAGACCAAATCATTGCAAATAACACGAGAACATTATAGCCATGATTGAAGCATCAGACAAGGTATGCACTTGAACTTCTCAGCGTAAGTGTACGCCAGCAACATAAACAAACATATTGTTTTCTTATGAGAGCGGACACAAATCAGAAAAAGTTTGAAGTTAAAGAAATTAGGGGGCGTAAATGACCAAAGATTAATGGCTTCAGCTGCCAAAGAGAGCTCCAAAGATAACCAATTCTGAATATAATAGGACAGAGAGACATAGACTAGTTGCAGATTCTGCATAACTACCAATTATATATGGAGCACCCAACTGAAAGTTCAGAAAGAATGATATGCTTTGACACACAAAGTATCCTAAAAACCATAATTTAGAGAACATCTCAATTTTGTAACAAATATTGACTACTACAACAACATACCCAGTCTAGGGAGGACAGTGTACGCAAAACTTACCACTACCTCAATAATAAATATTGACTAACACATGAAAAAGGAATATTATCCACTAAAAATAGAGAAACGAGCAAGTCAGATCCAAAAAAGATACCAAGATTACATAGTGTAATAACCATGGCTTTGCCTATTCTTTGATGCAAGTATGCAACTATATTGAATGATGAAGTTTAAGTACATTCTCTTGCACGCAAATATCTATTACAATAGCTTAACCAAGTGCAGCAACCATTATTCCCAAAAAGAAGTACAAATAAACTAAATTAACAAGTGTATTTTGACTTCAGCAGTTAGGCAATCCCCTATCAACTGGAATAGAACAGCATATACCAAGCAAAGATAAAATATACATGAGCTCAATATTGAATACTTGACCAATTGGCACAAGTTTATTATATAAATTCACCAAGATCCAAACTTTTTATTTCCACCATGTCACCAAAAGCCATTAAAGGAGAAGCAACAAAAAAAATTGAGTTGATGTTACCGTAATTATATATATATATATATATGATGAGATGGTATAATTTGAAATTCATTTGGAAACATGACGTGAGTTTTATTAACTGCATCTTCGTCCATTATCTCCCTCTGTTTGCGGAAGATTGTTCAGTTAGTTAGTCAGTTCACTCAAAGTCGTCAAATAAAACTAGATCTGAGCACAATATCAGCTGAGCATACAGATTCATCGTCTCTTTTTCAGCAAATATTCACAGCCTATCAAATTTTACATCATTTAAACTGTATAAGTAGAAACACATGAAAACATGTCACAAAAGACTCCTAATAAACCAATCACCAAAATTAAATCTCCATAACTGAACAAAAGAAAAAAAATTCAACAGGATTTAGATCTACGATGCAACAGATTCAACAACTAAAGAAACAGGGTAGAGAGAAATGATCGGAAGCCATAGGAATGGGCGGTATTGGCAAGATCTCAATTTTTATGGAAAATAAATATGAAATCTTACCACACCACCCACTCCAACACCTCCCCGAAACACTCATCCCCTTCCCATTTCCTACAAATTTCACAAGCTTTTCTCATTCCACACAGAGATGATGAGAAGAGGTTGTACGGTGGAAACCCTAATATAATGAGTGAGGTTCACAAAGTAGGGAAAAAGTGTACGTTTTAACCACGCATGTTTTACTTTTGTCAACTTAACTCCAATGACTTCTATAAATGATGATATTTCTACTCATCGACTCATTCCAAATTTACTTTTACTTTATTGAGAAAACTGAAAATAACTTTCTGATCCAAATTCAATAAATCATATTTCTTGTATCATTCATGGAAATATAAGTTGATACTCCATATAGTATCAACCTATATGGGTATTTTCTCTTCTTTTTTTCCTGTGTATTTATGTATACAATAGAATACAATTAAATGAATTGTATGTCTTTGTTAAGGAAAGGAGTATCATACAATGAAACACATAATATAAAGAGAGGGGGATAAAGGAAAATGACGAGAGAGACATTGAGAGAGGTGAGGAGAAAGGTGAGCGAGATAGGAAGATAGAGGAGGCACCACACCAAAAATGATCTTTAAAGGCAATAGTTGAATCGCCGTTAAATATATTTTTTTAGAAGCAATAAACATTTTTTTCGTAAATGTCCTAAAACTTATGGCGACATTGGATTCAATGACAATCAACTAAGAAAAAACTATAGAAATCTCATACATTTGGGTGCTAGGATACATTCTTTGGTTGTCCGATACATTACTTAATGGGAGGGATGCATCCGAGAGAGGATATTTGTATTTTTTTTAAATGGTAGGGATAGAGATTATGATTTCTTAAGTTGTGTATTTAAATAATTTTTCATTAACTAATGCCCACAAAGATTTTAACATTCTTTGTTAATGTGCATATTTATTATCGCTAATAGTTGTTTCTATTATAGTTAGAAAGCAAGCAAGATTGAGAGAAAAAAGAGAGATGCTAAAAAAGTGAAATACAATCATAGAATGTTATTTTTTTTAAGTGTAGTTAAAATTATTAATACATAGTACTGCATATTTTCTCTACCATGATGATTATTATCATGCAAAATTTCCTAAATTTTATCTGTTCGAATTGAAGGAGAAAGTAAAAGATGCTCTGAATATTGTTGCTCATGGGCTAGTGCTCAATGGTAGGCAAACGTAAGATTGGGCCATTAGAAATATGGATTGGGCTTTGGTTGTGGCCCTGCCTAACATTTTGTCTACCGCAGCCCACATTCTTAACACCAACTTTAAACGAAATGATCTATTATGGGTCAATATGGATACCCATATTTAACCCATTTTGATCATATTTATAGAGACTCTTAAAATAGCTTGAAATCCATATTCACCCAATTAAAATAGGGAAAATTGTACATAATGGCAAACTATTAATTCAAATTAAATGGTATAACTACACTTTAATTTAATTGTGCCCTGTAGCAAACTGTTTTCCAGTCGTCTCTCTCCCTCAACCTCTCGCTCACCACTCTCCCTCTCTCGCTCGCTCTCTTTGTCGCTCACCTCTCTCGCTTTACAAACAGAAATGTATAAATTATGTTTCTGTTTGTATAAAGCGAGAGAAAATTGTATATACACTTATAATTATACAATACAAATATTCCCCCGTCCAGTTCTCTTTTGCCTTTCTCGCTTTATACAAACATAGGTTATACAAAATACAATGTATAATTTATGTTTGTATAAAGCGAGAGAGAGAACGATATTTGATATACAAACGTTTTATTTCGATTCAATTGTATACAAATTCAAATTTTATACAGATATACAAGCACATAAAATTAAATTGAGAGACTCTCAATGATTTATACAAACGAGAGGCTGACAACAATTTATACAAATGGCCTGCCAGTGAAATTATACAAATTTGAAGAAGAGTCCGCGAATTATACAATTGCTTCTTTTGTATATATGTATAGCGAAATAACCTAGTCATAACATGTTTGTTATGGAGCGCAATTATGCAAATTTTCCTATAGCATACAAATATGAATTTTGTGTTTGCTATATGTGAAAGTTGCTCAACTTTATAATGTTCCCACACTTCAATTACTCACATATAGGTTGGAGTGGGCGTTCGGTTCTTCAGTTCGGTTCTTCGGTTTTTGGTTTTAGAAAAGTGTGCACCGTATATTAAACCAAACTGGTTCGGTTCGATTTGATTCAGTGCTTTTAAATCAGTTTTTCGGTGTGAATAAAAAATAAAATAAGGATAAAGTATAAGATATTTAGAAATTTAAAACTATGTTAAGGAATAATGCGTATCACCGTGGAACACTTATTGTGCTAACTAAAATACTATATTTGTCTTTATCAAGAACATTGTGCCTCCAACTATTTCTCGAGAAAAACATGTACGAAGACGGTTCCTTTACATAATGTACATTGGTAGAAATATGTTTGAGTTTCTCTTGGAAATTAATATTTGAAGTTAACTATTGAATTGTACATTTGTTGTTACTTTGTTCATGAATGATTTAATTGTTAGTTGAATTTTTAATTTTTAGCTAAGAGAATTCTCATATATATATATTATTTTATTTTTAATTTTTATTTTCTTAAAAAATAACCCATGCTCATATATATATATATATATATATATACCGAATTTTAAAATAAAAATTTGGTTCTTCGATGTACCGAAGTTTTGAGACCCTTACACCGAACACCGAACCGAACTTCCGAAAAAATAACACCGACACCGAAAAGCCAAAGAACCGAATTAATTTGATTCGGTTCGATTTTTTGGTTTTCCGATATTTATGCCCACCCCTACATATAGGGGTGGCAGAATGGGTGCTAAATTATATGGGTATCCATTCATATTTATCTATTTTAAATGGTTTGGGTACCTAACTCATTTAAAATGATTAAAAACTGAATAATACTCATATTATCCATTTAAAAGTGGATAGTTAAATCGGTAAAATGAGTAAAAAATGTTCTTTCATAAAAAGAAAGAAAAGTGGTGGAGGCTGGTAGGAGTGGGGTGGCAAGAAAAACTCAATTTTTATATTTTTTTTTGGGGGGG